TAAAGGTCAGTAAAATAAATCAGAACCAAAAGAAATACCCCAAATTCCATGAGGCAAGTAAATTATATTTCAGGAATTCATACACAAGTCATAGGAAAGAACAATATCTCATAAATCAGAAAATCTACAAGTTAAAAAGCTAGAAAATCAGTATTTCTATCATCACTCTGCTATTTTGTTTGTGTAATACAACATAAGAAAGACATTTAGGGACATAACATATAGGGATAACAAAAACTTTCATGAAGTACTGGGTACCTACTGTCTTTAGACTCTTTGAATTGTTCTGTTACATTTGCTTCACCATGTCTAATCATGTATCCATCTATAATCTTACTCTTCATATAATTCAAATTATATTTTCCCTAATTGTTTTAAACTGGGTATATTTTGGGGAATGTTAGACCTTTTTATCCTGTATTTTAACTCTCCTGGTAAAAAGTCAGATTGAACTCTTCCCTAATACAATAAGAAAGATATCCCTCTTGGAAAATATGGTGTATTTCTAAAGCTTTTGTCCTGTTATCAGAAGAGTTTTGCTTACATTTAAGTTTCAAAGTACTATGATAATAGAAGAGTGCCTGGAGGTGAATTTGAGGCAGTGTTGCTGGATATGACTTCATGCTCACTATATTGAAAAGATCCTGTACTCAATGTTGTGTTTACCATTTGCTTGTATCCCATCAGTATCTCTCCCCACGCTAGTTGTTAACTAAGCAATACTTCTATGGTTGTCTATCTCCTGATTTTTCTCTCCAGATTCTTATGTATTTGCATCAAAATTTTATATCTTGTAATGGTTTTATATTAAAGCCTATGAATATCTTCTGAACTTCTGTACTCACCTATAAATGTATTATCCAATTGCACATGCTCTTAGACTCCCTTATAAACAGAAAGAAATTATTACAGAAATGATATTTTGATAATAATCTTATTCTCAGCATGATCGGATGGAGTCCTTATAAGTGAATATGACACTGATTTAGATATGTTCTGTTGAACATTCTTGGAGAGACTTAGCTATGGGCCATGAAATGCTATTGAATGCCTTGAGTGTGGCTGGCACAATTGAATTGGTTTAAGATGTGGATAGAATACAATAGGCTTACACTACCAGATATGACCCCTTTTTTGTAGAGTAGGCCTTAAATCCAATCAGGAAACTGTCGATGGTATCCATGATAGTCATTCAATTCTGTACAACCAAGCACATCTTGCCTAGCTTTTCTAAACTGTGGCATACAGGGCCTGTTTCCCAGCAGAAAAGTGAGTGACACTTATCCTCCCACTATCTACATGTAACTTCTGGCATTATGAACACCAGCCAGCAGGGAGAAAGCTTCTAATTTATTTTCAGCTTGACTTTTTGACAAATTGCAGACCAAATGTGCTAGAGTCCTTGGCAATTGAGCCTTACCCTCTAGTTTTCACATATACTCAACAGTAGCAACTAGCTTTATTATTTGTGGAGCTTCAGTAGATTTCTTGGCCAATGACTGCTTCTGCCCTTTGGGTATTTTAACACTGTAGGACTGATGTTCACCAGGCTTCTCTGAAAGGAACTATGCTTATGCAGGTGGAGTGATTCTGAAGGAACTTGGTTGGCTTGAGTACCAGGGAAAAATAAGCCTTTTCCAAGATGATTTTCAGTATTACAGCTCTCTTTATTAGGGGGATAATAAGGACAATATAAACCTTGAAGAATGGGTTGGGGATGTTGAGGGTGAATGTACATTATTGGTTGGTATCAAAGTGCTGAGAATGCTTCATTTGCATGAAGAGGAATTCTAAGCACTTAAACCTGTAATTTGGCCACCAGGTTTATGACTACCTTTATGAAGGTAGAGGTAGAGGTCCCAAGGATATGAGCACCATAAAATGCAGGCCCAGAACAGAAATGGAACAATTTTTACTCCTGCAAGTCTCAAAATGAGATTTTGGGGGTTTGGACATCTATGGATCCCACTCTTGCTTGAGGCCAATCCTCCCTGGTCATTAAAGTTACATCTCCCCATCTTTGTCTTAATAAGGGGAGATGTCATCATAGCCATAAGCCTCTATGCTGGAAATGGTTTGGTATTGAAACAGAATCCACCTGTTAGGCAGTGATTTTGGCAATGCTACTTATCTGCCATTTTAGAAATAAAATGAGGCAGGGTGCCAGGAGAAGTTCGACTCTAATAGCAAGTATTGGACCAAGGAGGGGGAGAAGATAACCTACCATAGGGTTTGAGTACCATGGGGTAGGGGTGTTGGGCGCATAGTGTATCTGGAGATCACACCTGAGTCAGATCATTGAGCATTTGTGTGACTTATTCCAACAACCAAGATTCATTGACATAGAAGCAACATTCCTTCCCCAATACAATGAAAATCCTTCCTTGTTCAGCCATCTTTAAGTCCAGAGTCCTCCATTTTGTGAGAATAACCATGACTAAGAAGGTGATCTGATGCTGGAGGGACTCAAGGAAGTCTGGGGTGGAAGCCATGGCATTGTCAAGCTTATCTGGAATCTTCAACCTGTTGTCATGTCTGGTCCTTTTGCTCTGGAGCACAGGAGCTTTAAAGCATAACATTGTAGGTAGATTTCTACATTAACATATGTATTTAATGCATATTATGCATAAATCAGCTAATGATGATTCCATACCAGTACTATATATCAGTGCTGGTATAATGGCTACACTTATCATTGTCAATTCTTGTATATATACATACACAACACTAAGTTGGGCCAGATACTTGAGGGTGGCTCACTGCAGATGATTATAATAGGCCTGTGACACCTTACAGGTGAGGATACATTTGCTGCTATTATTGGTAAGGATAGGCCTTATAGAGGGCACTCACTAATCTTGCATGAATAGATCAATTTATATAAGTGTTCAATCAGACAATCTATTTGTCAAGGCTATCATAAATAGGCCTCATATTTTTGGACAACATGTAAAATATAAAAATATTTTATAAGGAAATGGCAGTGACATTACCTGTTTCAAACCTCTGCTGGATCTCTTTTGATTAGACTTAATATTAGCCAATGTGGAATTTCCAAGGATTCCTGGGATGACATATCCATACTTTGGTAAGGATAGTTCCTCCTTGAATTTCTCTGGGACTTAACAGACTAAGGGTTGCCATATGGAAAATTGCCAGGTGTTGTAATTCTAACAGAATTATTCTATTCTAATAAAAGTTCTGTGGCATTATATTGTATAGTTCCTTCCATATCTGTTATTCCCACAGTGACTTCTCTGAACCTGCTAGAACACCTTCCCTTTCTTAACTAAGGCATCCATAAAGTGAGGACTCTGAATAATCTAGTCATTAGTACATGTCATCACAGGCCCTTTTTTGTATAAAATTGTATAAAATGAAGACCTGGTTACAAAATAGATTGTCTTGTCAAATTGGGACCCTGCAATGATATCATTTTACCTTGTACCTACAGGGATGGGTATTGACCCTTACAACATCTTGTTCATTTACTGGAGGATAGTCAGTGATATATTTTAAAAATAAAATTGTTCCAAAGACAACATACAAGGTATTATCAATGAAGCTTGCTGTAAATGAGTACTTCTTTGTGGAGTTTAACTCTTTGGTATGCAAAAAATGGTTTTTTCAGGCAATCTACAATTCACTCATTGTTAGATGAGATATTTGTAAAGTTACTAGGGAAAAATCAGTTATGGAGTCTACCAGTTGCAATGTTTACATGTGTCTGGCAGTTACTGTTCTAGTGCCTGATATAGATTTTCTGACCCTTTCCATGAATGAACAAAACCTCTACTATAGCTGTGCCAAGGACCAGCTTATTCTTGGAGGGGATTTCTGAGGAAGGGATGTCTGGAAGCATCAAAAACAAAGGACTCAACTTCAAATTGTGGGTCTAAGCTCTGTTGAAGACAGATTTCCAACTGTTTTCTCTTTGTTCTTTCTTTCTCTGTGATTTGCTTTTTCTGGATATCTCCAGACAGTTCTCTATGTTCTTGAAAGAGTTCCCTAAGCAATTCTCTCTTGCTATTGTAAAACATTCTCTGGATGGCTCACCTTTGCAGTCTTTTATTTTACATATCAATCCTGTCATTTACTCCAGGTTTCCTTTGAGTTATATTATAAGTCAGCATCCTGTGACCCTAGCCCATTAATTCTTAGGATTCAACAAGCACACATTTTCTTTCAACATTCCAAAAGATTTTAGAAATCTGCCTGCCTATATTAAACACAGACAGTAAGCTAGCTGGATGGAATCCCTTCCTGAAAGTACCACATTTCTATCACATTGGGCATAACCTTTCTCTGTCACAGACTGACCTTGAATTCAGAAATTTGCCTTTCAAAGAAAAAATAAATAAATGAATAAATAAATAAATAAATATAAAAATTAAAATTTAAAAAAAAAAAACCTTAGCTGTTTGGGAGCTCCTGGGATTATCACTTCCTAAATCTCTTTATCTCTTTCTTAGTATCTTTCTGACCAGTTGGCCCATACTGTAGCTGCCTCTGTTCCTTTAGATCTCTGAATCTCCTTATAGAATTCATATTGCATCCTTATATTTTTGCATAGTTGAGAAACTATATATTTCCTAACTCATATGTTTAGAGTTCTTTGCCACAGCTTTAAGGATTATCTTGACAGTCCCAGTCAAGATATCTTGACAGTCCTATTTTTACTGAGACATTAGCCACAGCTTTGCCTCCTGGACTTGTGCTGTCTCTGATTATCATGGAGTCATTAATGTTATCAGGGAGGACATTACTTGAAGGAGGAAAGCAAAATATGTATAGGATTATATAAGCAATCCCTTGTCCACAGAAGCTATTGATACTAGTAGAAGCCCACACTCACTGGCCCTGTCCTAGGGCAGGAACTTTCATTCTGTCCCCATGAAGGCCATGCTAAGCCCAAGAGAACTGTTTGTTCAGGCCATTTTGCCATAGACCCTTATGCTATACTACACAAATTTTATCTGTCTCAAAATTTTCCTAATTCAACTGCCCCTAGAGTTGTTGCAGATATGGCTGCTGTGTCACTTGTATTCAAGTTGGTGGGAGGGAAGAGAGAAGCTATGTCTACACTTACTGTTCTGACCTATGAGCAACTGAATCATTAGTAGCCCAATATTCCTTGAATAAAGCTAGCTAGATATGACCATCAGTCATGACTAAGTTGACCCCTGCTTACTGCCATAATGCAGAAGTGAGGGAAAGCACTCCTGAAACCACTCCTGAGATGACTCCAGGGATCCTGGGAACCACTAATTGGTGCAAATTACTGGTCGAGAATGTTGGAATTCAAAAAATTGCCACACAAACCATACATACATATGTTTACCTGAATAAGGTAAGTAGGATGGATGGGTAGTGAATAGGGGAATTTCAGAACACTGAGATAGCTGAGCATGGATATTATAATCATAACTTTTTGGCTTATTAGTATCATTCTTCAGTGTCAGCCACAAAAAACACGATATATATATATATACATACATATATATATATATATATATATATATATATATATATATATATATATGAATGAAGGGCTGCCCAGTGGTCAGCTCTGACTCAAGATATTTATTTATTTTTTGTACATAACAGTGCATATTGACTTTTGATTTTATGGGTCCTATATAAGCCTTTATGGAATTTCTTAAGATGAGCAAATCTCATACAGAACATTCAGAACACAGAGAACAAAACAGGGTATATAGTCAACACGTCCTTGAGTCAAGTCACTGTCAATGACTGGAAGACATGTTAGAACAACAACATGAAATAGCTAACTGGCATGGAACACAATGGCTACAGCGATTCTGGAGAGTAGGAGGTGTTATCAGACCATAACAGTGACAGGCATCATGATAGGAGAAGAACTGACCCTGTTCTTTACCAGCAGCAGCAGTCAGAAGAGCAGGCTCTTCCCCTCATGTGAGCAGCCCAGTAGAACTGAGGCTGATGTGGGGGGCAGTTGGGAGGGAGAGCCAGCTTCCAGGGTATCAGCATGGGAGTGTTGATCTTGCAAATTCTCTGGCTTTAGGCCTTATGGGCAAAGAAGAGATGCTTACCCTATCCTTCCCTTTGCTACTTACAGCACATGGGAGAGCTGCTTCCTGGGTTCATGAGAGCAGGAGAGCTGAGCTTGACTCTTACCTGGTGCCACATTCTCGAGAACAGGTCCAGCACCTTGACCTCAATGTGGTGGTTGCAGATGAGTTTGTCCTGAAAGTGTGAGCACAGGAATGTTTGCCCTACCTTTTGGCTGCTGGGCTGTTGGATTTATTAGGGAGAGATACCCTCTTCTCCTCCTCCCTTATTGCTTAACATCTATTGCAACACTTGGGAGTGCAAGCCTGTTACCTCACTTGGATAACAGGGTAGACCTGGCCCTACTTGCTTGCAGGAGGTTGCTGATGATCTGATCCCAAGGATGTGAGACTGGAAGAGTACACTACCTCAGATTCCTCTCAGGTTCAGATCCAAGGCTTTAAATTGGTCCATTCCACCATCTACCCCATGGATAAACTGCAGGAATTCATGAAGTGACTGATTCTACAGATCCAAAACTAGAGGGTCTCCATAACAAAGGGCAATAATAGAATATCTAAGAGAAGTCCCAGTGAGAATCAAATATTGACAGAGTGGCATAGCAGAAATGATAGATCTCATACCAGAGCAAAAAGTCATTTACAATGAACATCTATAAGTAAAGAAGTGTGGACAAAGGGTTTAATGTGGAACACAGTGAGACTCACTACAGCTTCCACAACAAGAATTTTTTTTTTCTCTGTTGGAGTAGGGGAGGATTCAAGGGTGGAGGCTGGGTTCCAAGGGATGGGGAGATGAGTAGAATTGTGGTACACGATGTTAAATTCACAAAGAAGCAATAAAAATAAGCAAAACAAAACAAAAATCAGTTTCCTGAACTAACCTTTCTGTCCTAATTCCACCAGGCATAAATTATTTTCTAAGTTATAGAGAGAATATAGAATATGGTATTATAGTGAATGAAAATTCACCGAAATCCCATGGGTCACACAAATATCTGAAGTTTTTTTTCTTTTTTCCATTTTGAGCTGTAGTATTTTGTAGAAATTTTCATTTTTAATGTTTTTTATTTTTATTGGATATTTTATTTACATTTCAGATGTTCTCCCCTTACCCCATTTTGCCCCACTCCCGCCAAGGAACCCTCTATCCCATCCCCCCTCCTCCTGCTTCTATGAGGATGTGCCCTCACCTACTCTCCACTCCCACCTTCCCACCCTCGAATTCCCAGACACAAGGTGTCCAGCCTTCATGGGACCAAGTATGTCCTCTCCCACCTATACCTGACAGGACCAACCTCCCTTGCATATATAGCTGGAGCCATGAGTCCCTCCCTAAGTCCTCCTAGTATGGTGGTTTAGAACCTGGGGGCTCTGGTTGGTTGGTATTATTGCTCTCCTCATGGGGTCGCAAACCCTTTCAACTCCTTCAGTCTTCACTCTAACTCCTCCATTGGGAATCCCATGATGAGTTCAATGGTTAGCTGTGAGCATCTGCCTCTGAGTATGTCAGACTCTTGCAGACATCTAAGCGGACAGCTATGTCAGGCTCCTGTCAGCATGCATTTCCTGACATCAACATCAGCATCTACCTTTGGTGACTGCACATGGAATGGATAACTGTGGGAAAATAGGGTACAGTGGTGTCCCGGAGGCTTTCCATGCAGCGGGTCTCAAAAACAGGAGAAAGTCTAAGGTTCCAGAGGCTGGAGGCTTTGGCAATGGCAGGCCCCAATGACACAAGAAAGTCCTTGGTTCCAAAAGGTTTTATTTTCATGAGGGATGGTAGACAGATCTGGATGTACCCCCACCCCCGAAACTCAGGGCCAACCTGAGTTAAATAGGGAGGGAGAAAGGAGGAGGGTCTGGGGAAGAATGTTTAATTGGCTCTCCCCTCTGGCCTTCATTAGTATGTAAATCTCTCTGGGGCATGAGGCTGTAGTCATATATGTGCACTTTGGGAGGGGCTGTAATGGCCTATGTGACTGAACAATGTAGGTCTATTGAGACTAGACTGTTTGTCAGGACCCTGGGTTCTGGGGACATGGCCTAACGCCTGCCCTTTCTCCCTTGGAGTCTCGGGGTTCCATGGCCATGGCTAGCCATGAACCGAGATACCCTTATGCAGTCCCACAGATACCCAGGTGGAATGGTCTTTAGACAGACGCTCCTTCAGTTTCTGTCCTACATTTTGTCTTCATATTTGCTCCCTTGAGTATTTTGTTACTCATTCTAAGAAGGAACTAAGAACCCCATTTGGTCGTTAATCTTCATGAGCTTTATGTGGTCTGTGTGTTTAATCTTGGGTATTTCAAGATTCTAGGCTAAAATCCAATAATAAGTGAGTGAATACCCTATGTGTTCTTTTGTGATTGGGTTACCTCACTTAGGATAATATTTTCTAGTTCCATCCATTTACCTAAGAATTTCTTGAATTCATTGTTTTTGATAGCTGAGTCATATTCCATTGTGTAAATGTACCACATTTTTTTTGTATCCATTCCTCTGTTGAAGGACATCTGGGTTCTTTCCAGCTTCTGGTTATTATAAATAAAGCTGCTATGAACATAGTGGAGCATATGTTCTTGTTATATGTTAGAGCATCTTCTGGGTATATGCCCAGGAGTAGTATAGCTGGGTCCCAGGTAGTGATATGTCCAGTTTTCTGAGGACTCACCAGACTGTTTTCCAGAAAAGTTGCACCATCTTGCAATCCCACCAACAATGGAGGAGTGTTCCTCTTTCTCTACATCCTTGCCAGTATCTACTATCACCTGAGTTGTTTATCTTAGGCATTCTGAGTGGTGTGAGGTGGAATCTCAGGGTTGTTTTGATTTGCATTTCCCTGATGACTAAGTATGCTGAACATTTCTTTAGGTGCTTCTCAGCCATTTGAGTTTCCTCAGTTGGGAATTCTTTGTTTAGCTCTGTACCTCATTTGTAAAATAGGGTTATTTGGTTGTCTAGAGTCTAAATTCTTGAGTTCTTTGTATCTTTGGATATTATTCCTCTATCAGATGTAGGATTGGTAAAGATCTTTTCCCAATCTCTTGGTTGCTGTTTTGTCCTATTGACAATGTCCTTTGCCTTACAGAAACTTTGAAATTTTATGAAGTCCTACTTATCAATTCTTGAACTTAGGGCATAAGCCTTTGGTGTTCTGTTCAAGAACTTTTCCCCTGTGCCTAGGTATTCTAGAGTCTTCCTCACCTTCTCTTCTATTACTTTCAGTGTATCTGGTTTTATGTGGAAGTCCTTTATCCACTTGTTCTTCAGCCTTGTACAAGGAGATAAGAATGGATCGATTTGCATTCTTCTACATGTTGTTCTCCAGTTGGACCAGCACTATTTGTTGAAAATGCTGTCCTTTTTCCACTGGATTGTTTCTGATCCTTTGTCAAAGATCAAATGACCATAAGTGTGTGGGTTCATTTCTGGGTCTTCAATTCTATTCCATTAATCTTCCTGCTGGTCTCTGTGTAAATACCATGCAGTTTTTAATCACTATTGCCCTGTAGTACAGCTTGAGGTCAGGGATTATGATTCATCCAGAAGTTCTTTTATTGTTGTGAATAGTTTTTGCTATCCTGGGTTTTTTGTTATTCCAAATAAATTTGAGAATTTCTCTTTCGAACTCTGTGAAGAATTGAGTTGGTATTTTAGTGAGGATTGCATTGAATCTGTAAATTGCTTTTAGCAAGATAGCCATTTATACTACATTAATCCTGCTAATCCATGAGCAGGGGAGATCTTTCCATTTTCTGATATCTACTTCGATTTCTTTCTTCAGAGACTTGAATTTCTTGTGATACAGATCTTTCACTTGCTTGGTTAGATTCACGCCAAGGTATTTTATATTATTTGTGACTATTGTGAAGGGTGTCATTTCCATAATTTCTTTTTCAGCCTGTTTATCTTTCATGTAAAGGAAGGCTACTGATTTGTTTGAGTTGATTTTTATAACCTGCCACTTTGCTGAAGTTGTTTATCAGGTTTAGGAGTTCTCTGGTGGAAGTTCTGGGGTCACTTAAGTATACTACCATATCATCTACAAATAGTGATATTTTGACTTCTTCCTT